GTACTGATTTATTCTCTCATTTCTTTATGAGACAAGGAAAATTGATACGAATCATTCGTTTATTCGAGGTAATTTGTTGAATAAGATTAGAGGGGTAAGTACCTGAAAAGTGAGAACAAATTGTCATTGCACTTGGACAATTTTTTGACACTGATTTATGGTATTGATCGATATTCGATTTTCGGTACTGATTTACTCTTTCATTTCTCTATAAGAAAAAAAAAATTCATACGAATCGTTCATTCATCCGTGTTAATTTGATGAATAAATTAAATGTTGATCGATCTTCAATTCTCGGTACTGACTGATTCTCTAATTTCTTTATAAGGGAATAAAAATTGATACGAATCGTTCTTTTATCCGACTTAATTTGTTGAGTAAATTAGTGGGGTAAGTACCTGAAAAATGAGAACAAATTGTCATTGCACTTGGACAATTTTCTAACACTGATTTACGCTATTGATCGATATTCGATTTTCGGTACTGGTTTACTCTTTCATTTCTCTATAAGAAAAAAAAATTCATACGAATAGTTCATTCATCCGCGTTAATTTGATGAATAAATTAAATGTTGATCGATCTTCAATTTTCGGTACTGATTGATTCTCTAATTTCTTTATAAGGGAATAAAAATTGATACGAATCGTTCTTTTATCCGACTTAATTTGTTGTAAATTAGTGGGGTAAGTACCTGCAAGATGAAAACAACTTGTCATTGCACTTGGACAATTTTCTGACACTGATTTACGCTATTGATCGATATTCGATTTTCGGTACAGATTTACTCTTTCATTTCTCTATAAGAAAACAGAAAATTAATACGAATCGTCCATTAATCCGCGTTAATTTGATGAATAAATTAAGTATTGATCGGCCTTCGATTTTCGGTACTGATTGATTCTCTCATTTCTTTATAAGGGAAGAAAAATTGGTACGAATCGTATGTTTAACCGAGTTAATTTGTTGGGTAAATTACAGCGATAACTACCTGAAAAATGAGAACATATTGTCATTGGACATATTGTCATTTTCTGACACTGATTTATGGTATTAATCGGTATTCGATTTTCGATACTGATTTACTCTTTCATTGCTCTATAAGAAAAGGAAAAATTGAAACGAATCGTTCATTTGTCCGCGTTAATTTTTTTTTTATTATATATAAGTGGTCCATGGGACGATTAAATATTCGAATACATGTTGCCGTATCAAAGTCTCCTCTATAATAAACGATTTGACACGTCTGGAGACGCATGATGTATCGTTGCCCGCATCCCATTCCCTTCGTCCTGCTTCCCTGTATAAAATGTCGAATTGAAACGTATTAAAAAGTATTGACATTTTGAATATGTCTGAATTCTGAATCTTTTTGGTCCGAAGAAAAGGATTGAAAAGTATTAGTTCCCATTAAATTTTACTGCGCTAAATGCGAGACGGTCTCTTTCGTCCGGGTGCCTCACCAGAGAAATTTCTCTGGTACGCTAAATCCTGTAAGGCCATCAGTCTTTGTAGTATATCTCGTCGGTGCATAAGGTTTATATTACCTGTACATACATATTTTGAAACATTTTCTTTGGATATTATATCAAACGGATTTTGCGTGTCACGTAATATCCTTCGGACTACACGGACATTATTATTTTGATCATTTTGATTTCTTTGGTATTCATTGAATTATCCAGAACGCGCAACTGCCATGTTGAACGACTCAATTGTCGTGTGAAATGTTTCGATTTTCACAAATTCATATAAAATTTTTCACTGATTCACAGAAGTCTTTCACTTCTTATTAGTTCACGCTAGGGAAAAGATTCATGATCGCTGCCCCGATCAGCTTCAAAGCTTTTCGAATCATCTATATCGGCGCGCTTTTACTCCTCAGATTTCTGTCATTAATAACTTGATAATTATTGCGAATCTCGCAAAATGATATAGGACTTTTATGTTTGCCTTGACCCAATCTACCCTCACACTTCGGGTTGGCAGCTAATTACCGGACGCTTCGTATGATCTTCATGATATTAATCATACACAATGTCAATTCTTTTTTTTTTTTGCACATGTTAACATGTTAATTCATGTTATAAACGCGTAACAATGTGCAAGACCGTGCTTGTCAAGTACGCTTTATGGTTGTAGCACGAACGTAAACCGCCTAAAAATGGATGTAGCACGGACTGCCACCACATACAGGTTTTACCGCCGAAACCTGAAAGTGGATGTGGCATTGTAGTTCCCCTTTAAAAATGGATGCAGATGGCGCCATTTTTCCCAGTGCGGAAAGTCGGTATCGTCGAAAACACCGTGTTGGCCGCTCTCACATTCCTCTCTGCTTGTACCTAATGGTACAAGCTGGTGGTCTCTCAAAGTCAAAGGTTGCTACCCTTTAAGACCTGCTGTCCATGTATGCCTCCATCGTTGCCCCTCCTTATCCGCGGCCTCTCTAGTTTTGCTACCCTGGGTCAAAGCCGCGGGGCAGTATCAGCACCGCGCACAGTCTGCTACCTTACGCCGTCATTTGGAAATAACTCTGCAATGTTAGAATAACAGAGCATACTTAAAATCGCAAAATTTCAATTTATAGTTTCTTCCAAATGCTTGAGTGTTGCATCGTCTCCGGTTAACAGTAACTTTTGCTAGACCTATACTACATTTCTGCCAAAACTCATCAAAATCAGTGACCCCAAGTTTGGCAGCAGCCCTTGTCAGATTATAGCCCAGAAAGAATAAAGCCAGCGGCACACGATGCTTGTTTTCGTGCTGGATTGCTTGCTGGATGAAAATACTGCGTTCTGATTGGTGCATTTCCATCCATCTTCGGAATTGTACCAATCAGAACGCAGTATTTTCATCCAGTAAGCAATCCAGTCCGAAAACAAGCACCGTGTGCCGCTGGTTTTAGTCTCGCTCGCATTGCTGAGCGAGAACGAGAGCAAGAAAGAGGGAAAGATATTCTCGCTCGCGTTGCTGAGCGAACACGAGAGAAAAAGGGAATGATATCTCTCTGTCGCTCGGCGCACCGACGATTGCCGAGCGCGTGGTCCACACGAATAGATTGAGCCGGCTATGGGTGCGTGCGTGGTGGGGGAAATCAGAAAAGAGTCGTGGACATTGGCATCGTACAGTTCATGTGCACGGTTGTGCAGAAGGCACCTCACACTGGGCACGGCTAAAAGCGGCCAGTGACCTCTCTCTTTCTTCTCTCTGATTCATGTATCATATGAATTTATAAATTCATATAATATATAAGTATAATTCTTTCAGTAAAAAATAAAATATATAGCATACGTTAGCTTTCTGTTATATATACACACAAGACGATTGGCTTCTGCTCACTCCTGTCACTAAAGGCTCGTCTGCAATAGCTGTAAGAGTAAAGCTGTAAGGCTGTAACGTAAGCTGTCAGCGAATGAAAATATTTCATTTCGTAACTTGCAACCTTACAGCCTTAAGCCAGCGGCACACGGTGCTTGTTTCGTGCTGGATTGCTTGCTGGATGAAAATACTGCGTTTTGATTGGTACATTTCCGAAGATGGATGTAAATGCACCAATCCGAACGCAGTATTTTCATCCAGCAAGCAATCCAGCACGAAAACAAGCATCGTGTGCCGTTGGTTTTACAGCTATTGTAGACGAGCCTTAAAGTGTCGTCTACAATGGCAGTAAACAGTAAGGCCTGGTCTACAATACGTGTCGTAAGTTGTAAGCCGTAAGAATTGGCGAATCACAGTCGATTATTACAAAAATAATCGGCTATAATTGGTCAATTCTTACGGCTTACAACTTACGACACGTATTGTAGAATGACCTTAAAACGTGGTCTACAATGGCAGTAAGCAGTAAGAAGTAAGCGTAAGTGGTAAGAAATAAACCAATCACAGTCGATTATGAAAAAAATAATCAACTGTAGTTGGTCCATTTCTTAAGGCCCATCTACAATGGCTGCAAGAATAAGGTTCTAAGCGTAAGCAGTAAGAAATGGACCAACCATAATCGATTATTCTTATAATAATCTATTGTGGTTGGTCTATTTCTTACTGCTTACGCTTAGAACCTTATTCTTGCAGCCATTGTAAATGGGCCTTTACTGTTTACGCTTAAGCCCGTTGCACAATACCAGGCAGCAGGCAATAAGAATAAAAATAGGCCAATCATAATAGATTATTCTTGTAATAGTCGATTGTGATTGGTCTATTTTTATTCTTATTGCCTGTTGCCTGGCATTGTGCAAGGGGCCTTACTTCTTACTGGTTACGACCATTGTAGACCACGCTTATGAAGGCCCATCTACAATGGCTGCAAGAATAAGGTTCTAAGCGTAAGCAGTAAGAAATAGATCAACCACAATCGATTATTATAAGAATAATCGATTAGACCTGATCTACAATACGTGTCGTAAGTTGTAAGCCGTAAGAATTGGCGAATCACAGTCGATTATTACAAAAATAATCAGCTATAATTGGTCAGTTCTTACGGCTTATAGCTTACAACACCTATTGTAGACCAGGCCTTATGGTTGGTCCATTTCTTAAGGTCATTCTATAATACGTGTCGTAAGTTGTAAGCGGTAAGAATTGACCAATTATAGCCGATTATTTTTGTAATAATCGACTGTGATTCGCCAATTCTTACGGCTTACAACTTACGATACGTATTGTAGAATGACCTTTACTGCTTACGCTTACAACCTTATTCTTGCAGCCATTGTAGATAGGTCTTTAGACAGCAAGGGAGTAGGATTAGGAGCAGCCATGAATTATAATAGTTATAGATGGGAGTGTGTACTGCTCTCTCCAGATCTAGATCTCACTCGCTCCACTCTCGTTATCGTAAGCACCCAAAGATTTTCACACAATATCGCATACGGTATTTTTTCAAAAATTTAAGTCAAGAGGACTTGATCGATTAGATTAACTTAATGCATACTAAAGCGCTAAAGTATACATGTAATAAAACATTTTGTTTTAAGCTAATATATCAAAACTATAACATGTCGCGTAGCTGTATATTCTTGTCTTCTCATATTCTTATATTCTTATCTTCTTCATGTTAAACACTCGATTGGTCCATTTGCCGATATATCGCTTGATACAGTTACGAAGTTCGTTCGAAAGAAGCTTTTAATCCCTACCCGAACTTATCTTGTCGCGTAAGCAAAGGAACGTTCTCCGAAATCAAGATCTCACTAGTGTAGTTGTGCGTGTGCCCGTAGCTGTGTGCGTCGGCTATTCTCATAGCTACGGGGTGCCTTGAACCTCGTTTGTATTTCAATGAAGCGGATCTGTGCACCGAGATGATTTTTTTATACGAATCTTCGCGCAACGACAATTATTACTTCGAACGTCCGTCATGCAGGTTTATTATGTAAAACGACTTGTCTGGTCAATGATTTACGTCGATTTTATTTAAACATGTCTGTATAAAACATTACTCTAAGTTGTGATTAATTGATGTCTTAAATTTCATATTTCCGTATGTAATCGTTAATCCCTGATTAATTGGCGCACTTATTTAGTTGCCTAATAATCGCTTAATATTTATAAAATTGTAACATAAGAGCTTAATTGCTCGTACATCCATATTGGATACGAAGGAATTGTACATAATATACCGATTTTAATCGAATTTCACGTGCTCCTGGGAGCCTGTTTCTCTTTAATTAATGCTTCCGGCACGCAATAACATGTTTCTTGTTTGCGTGACCGTGGGACTTGTTTTCTTAGCGTCGAAGTATCGTAACAATGTGCTTCGTAGCGTTAAGCATCTGTGTAAAAATATCGCGAGCCGAGATAATCATAGGAATAATAATAATGATGATACTGTAATTGCTAAATATGATAACAACAATAATTATAAAGATACCAATAACAATGAAAATTGTAAAAATGATAACGGTAATTATGCTAATATCAATAACGACAAAGAAAAAGAATTTAAAATTACACTAGACAAGATTATTCTGGCGGACTCTCTAGAGAAGTGCGATTACGCCGTCCAACGTATTCGCTGGTAAGTGTAAGCGAAAATTATTCAAATACAAGTACAATTCCAAAAAGTAACTATTTTGTAATATTATTTCTAATTATTAGAGCAGATTTATCTGTACTCTCGTAACTTTCTATTATATGATGAATATATGGCTGTTCCTGGAAGCATTATTGTTTACATTTCTTCTAAGAAGGAATCTATTGAATACCTTAGAGATTCTCTTCTTGTGTATAGTAAACATGTGTAGAATGTGTCCTTGGAATTCTCTAGAATTTCTAAATCTATCTACTTATGTTTCTGATAGAACTTACCCAGACAGCATTAATGTCCAAAACTGGGATATAAGACATCTTTCAGACGTCTTTAAGATGTCTAGACATAAGATGTCTTTAAGATGTCTTATGTCCCAGTTTTGGATATTGTGCTGTCTGGGTAGATATTTATTACATAAAAGAATTTTTCTCTTTTCTTCTTCCTTTCTTTCTCTCAATTCATTATCTCCTCATAATCCATAAAATATTTTTCCTCTATGTTACAAAAAATGAATTTTGTTAATATTAAATAAAAATGATTGATCAAATTTCTATATCTTTCAGTTTTCAGCTTTATTTCTCATTGTTGCTTATGTCAAAAAAATCATATTTATATAATATCTCTAAAAGATATCTTAACATAATAATTTAATTACTTAATAAGTATTTAATATTTATAAAATTGTTATATAAGAAGACTGTCTTTTGCATTAATAAGATGTAAATCAAAAGCAAAGTATTCATACATAACATAATATATAAATAAAATATAAATAGAAAACAAAGTACTTATATACATAATGCTGGTTTTGATTAATTTTTAATTTAATTTAATTTAATTTTTCTTTCTAGTGATCTGTCTGAAGGCGTATTGGGTTTTGATTGTGAATGGGTCAATGAAGGACCTGTTTCTCTATTACAATTAGCTACTTTCAATGGAGTATGTGCTTTGTTTCGCATTGGAAAGATCGGATATATTCCAGATAAACTCAAAGTATGGCTTCGAGTTTCCAAAATAAATGCAATTATTATTCAGGCACTATAATAAGATCAATTTTATCAATTAACAAATTTTTTCCTTTTTCTCAGGAATTATTGTCGAATAAGCGTATTCTTAAAGTTGGAGTTGCTTCATTTGAAGATGGACAAAAGATATTAAAGGATCATGGGTGTCAAGTTAGCGGAACCCTCGATATAAGAACTTTGGCTGAAAGCATCCAATTGCCAAGTTTAAAGAGCTTAGCGGCAATGAGTTTAGAATATCTTGGTCTTGAAATGGACAAAATAATAGAACTGAGGTGTGGCGACTGGGAGGCTAGCACCCTGACTGACGAACAAGTGACTTATGCTGCTTGTGACGCAATTGCATCCATTTTCATTTACCAAAAAGTAAAGCAAATGCAATCCAAGATAATTTTCTTTTCATTCATATGTACATATATAATAATTGCTAATCTTTTCCTGCAGATAATGCAGAAAATGCGGAAAGCTAAACAGAAGCTTACATTATGGCGGAAATTTACTATTTACTTATCTAATAAATTCAGCAGTGATGTAAACACACGAATTCATGGTGTACCTGCTGGAATAGTTGATACGAGGTACGAACATTTATGAGTCGTAGTTAGTACATTTGAATTTTTATATGGAATTTCACATATTTTGAATATAATATATAATAGAGTCCCCCGTATCGGGGTGATACGTTCCAAAATCTACTACAGATTCTCACAGCCACAGATAAACAGCAACATCTATATATAAATCATATTTTATCTAGATATATACCTAAAATAAATTTTAATTGATAAATTGGGGCACGCAATAAAACATTTCAACATTAAATAATAGTAAAATATATGCTGTATTATATACTTGTATTATTAAATTTATGAATTATTCATTTCTGGAATTTTCCATTTAATATTTTCGGGTCACGATAAATTACAAACAACTGAAATCACGGAAATCAAATCTACAAATATGGCGGTTTTATTATATATACATGTATATGGTGCAAGAAATATATAGGGTGTCCCAAAAGTAACGGACCACCCTAATAACTCTTCAGTATTGAAGTTTCAAGGAAAATGATCTGAATAAAAGTTATAGGGATTTAAGTGAGCTACCCTGACTTTGACTTGATAATGACCTTGACTTTCACCTTGACCTCTATTTTCAAGGTTATTTGAAGGTCAACTTGCATTTTTTAATGGGAACCCTTATTTTTTATTAAACTTCTTTTTCTACTAGTTAATTTGAACAACTTTTGTTTAAAACATTTTTCTATTCGTCTAATATTTTTTTTTAAATATTTGAGGAAAACTTGATAACTTTTTCAATATTTAACTTACGATATCTCGCTAACTATTTGTCGGAAGAAAAAGTGGTACTACTTTCTTGCTTTATTTAGTCTCAAGAATATATTGTTACAATAGCGCCCTGATTTTTGTTAATTTTATGATTTTGAAATTCAAAAACCAGTAAGTTAACAAAAGTCAGGGCGCTATTGTAACAATATATTCTTGAGACTAAATAAAGCAAGAAAGTCTAGTATTACTTTTTCTTCCGACAAATAGCGAGATAACGTATGTTAAATATTGAAAAAGTTCTCAAGATTTCCTCAAATATCTCAAAAAATATTAGACAAATAAAAAAATGTTTTAGACAAAAGTTGTTCAAATTAATTAGTAGAAAAAAACAGTGTAATAAAAAATAAGAGTTCCCATTTAAAAAACGCAAGTTGACCTTCAAATGACTTTGAAAATAAAGGTCAAAGTCAAGGTCATCATAAGGTAGCTCACTTAAACCCCTACAACTTTTGTTCAGATCATTTTCCTTGAAACTTCAATACTGAAGAGTTATTAGGGTGGTCCGTTACTTTTGGGACACCCTATATTTATATATAAGCTTGTGTCTGTTTAAGGTTCAAGGCTCATCGATCAAGTATAAACAGTATCAATAATGCTAATAATAATTTGAGTATGACTAAAATATTAGATAGAAGCACTAGTGCCGAACGCAAAAATACAATACCTACAAGGAATAAGCCATTATATCATAATTGTTATTTACAAGCACCTGATGGAGAGATATTGTGTACATGCGATCGTAAAAAAGCAGAATGGTACATCGGAAAAGGATTGGGAGAACTTGTTCAGACAGATCCTTACACAGTGAAATTGAACTTTGAGCCTTCTGGTCGTGCATTAGGCGAAGTCGGGCAATATTACACTCAAGTAAAAGTCAATCAATGTGTAGTCTGTGGATGCACTGAAAAGTTTATCAGAAAAAACGTCGTACCACGAGAATATCGCAAATATTTCCCACGTAAGCGTTTTTTCCCTTTATCTATTCATTCTTTATTTTTATTAAGAAAAAGTATCAAGAACTGATATTTTAAACTATTAAAAGTATCGAGATATTGTGTAATATATAAAAGTTAAAATTGTTGGATCTTTTTCAGTGGTGATGAAAGCACATCAATCTCACGATGTGCTGCTATTATGTCCATCCTGCCATGAAATTAGCAATAATAATGATCTACAGCTCAGAAGAAAGTTGGCAGAGATGTGCGACGCACCTTTAATCGGGCCACTAACACACATGCGAGATAAATATATGAGCAATTTTCGAAAGCTTCAGTCGGCCGTTAAGGTATTGAAACAAGGGTTATCGATACCTCAGCGACGACGTGAGGAGCTTGAGATTTATATAATGGAGCATACAGGGCAGAAGGAGATCAGTCCGACTATGCTCGATGCCCTGCATGAAAGATTAAAAACCGTATCGATTCAACAAGCGATTTCTAATCAATTCAAATACCAACCGCATGGCTTAAAGGTATTCGCTTTATATAAAAGTCACATATTATGAATAACTTAAATGTAAAATTGTTATATTATTTATTTGACTCACTTCGATAGGTGGTACAGTATTTCCAAAGACAAGAAGGCGGACTAGTTGAGCTAGAACGTATGTGGAGAGAGCATTTTCTTACCACTATGAAACCAAAATACTTACCAAATTTATGGTCTGTACGTCACAATCAAGAACGATTGATCATGCGCCAAGCGCAAAATCGTATTGAACCACAAGATGCAAAGATTGCTGGACTAATGAAGTAGCAGTGTAGTTTAAAAATTATACCTGTAAGGACTCGTATAAGAGCGAGAACTTCAAAGAAGACTATTATACTAATCAATATATGTTTGAATATATATATATATAGATATGAACTTTCTTTTTATATATTTTTCTCTCTTATGCTCATTTTTGCTAATCTATTCCCAAGCAATGTGATGCAAGTTTCAAATTCATAAATCACTTTTTTAATCCAAACTAAGTTTGTCATAGAACTTATATATCACTTCTCAGCAATTTGGACTAACTTATATTTAAGATATTTTATATCTTGTTTTACTCAAACTATATTTTTAAATCTCTTCCAACCCTTTTGTAGTTTTAAAATAGTGAAACTATTTATTAATTACAGCAAAGAATACTCCAACTATTGTAATAACAAATTTTTTTCAAATAAATATTTAATTCTTGCATCAGAAAACATTTCTAGAACTAATAATTAGTTTGACATGTTCAAGATCATGTTAACATAAATTTATACATTTAATAAAAAACTCTGTTAACTGTATTAACAAACTTCTAATTTATGTCAGAATGTTTGTTACTTTTTATTAATTATGCTATATGCATTATGTACAGATCTCTAAAAAAAATTAAGTAAATTTAAACTAGAAGACAAGTCTTATAGCTGCTTGGAAACTTCCTGACTATTCGCCGACGACGACGATGATGTTGAAGATATTCCCTGATTTTTCATCTCCTCGTCAATACGCTCTTTAGCACGTACTACCTTGGACTGCAAGTAGAATGAACCGCCTTTCGACCTGTCATTAGCTTCCATGAGGTATTTGTAGTTCTGCTCGATCAGCTCTGTCTGGTCAGTACGTTCTGCATTAAGAATACGAAGTGCTTCTTCCAGAGAAATGCCAGTCCTAGTGTTTGCGGCGACATGCTTCGCACCTCTTGTGCCACCACCGGCTCTTCGCGCCGCTTCTTGACTCGCTGCAATCTCCTGACGCAGAGCACGTGCGAATGCCTTGCCCACGACCTGCGTACCGGATATAATGATTTGTATAAGATATTTTGCCATAATCTCTACTAATTCGTCCACTTGCGTGAACGCAAGGCGGTCAAAATGACTAGCCGACTGTCACGTCCGAAATTTCTGTCTGTACGAAATTGTACGCTATTCCAAGCATTAAAGCCCGGTCCAGAATAAGTTACAAATACCCAGTTGCGAGTTGCGAAGGATGGCAACTACTAGTTACAAAGTACTATTTTCGGTTGTAACCAGTGTTGCCAGCAAAACCGTGTTCGATTGTGCCAAAAAGTGTGCCACATTAGTGCGTTTTGTGCCATTCGAGCTAAATTAATATATTTTGAAGATTTTATAAGAACTGAGGAATCTATAAGTAGTTTTTATTGTCTAATCTTATATTTGTATTTTAAATTTGCATAAAAACTAACACTTCTTGTACTATCTTTAGAGGTTCGGAAACTTTACTCTGAGGGCCGTATTCATAGTCCGGTCTTATATTTAAGATCGTCTTAAGTTTATCTTCAGATGCTGTATAAATCATTTCATTGGCTACAGAATATCTAAACGTGAACTCAAGACACTTGTAAATATAAGATCCGACTATGAATACGGCCCTGAATGTAGAGTAATTGAATTAATCAATCATGATAAAAAGATATTTGCTCTTTTTATTATTATTGGTTAATCCGATGCTAGTTACTTTATCCGTAATGTGCAAGTTCCGAACGCACTCCAGATAATGTAAGTGCCACTTTATTGGTTATATTAAATCTACATACTCTTGCTTGTAGAATGCGATACGTTTGTCATAGAAGCCAAAGATTTAAAACTTTCACTTAAAAATGAAATTGTATCACTTTTTTTTTTGTGCCACAAGAAATGCATAATGTACCACCAAATCACTAAATTGTGCCTGTGTGCCACTAACCTTTAATTGTGCCACATGTAGTACGAATATGCCATAACTGGTAACGCTGGTTGTAACAGACAGTTGCCGGTTGCCGTTGCCAAGAAGTTAAAAGTTGGGCAATTCTCTTTTAGCAACCAGTCTTATGACCGAAAATAAAGCCAACCGCTTAACACTTTGTAAAGCCAGCGGCACACGGTGCTTGTTTTCGTGCTGGATTGCTTGCTGGATGAAAATATTGCGTTGTGATTGGTACATTTCCGAAGATGGATGGAAATGCACCAATCAGAACGCAGTATTTTCATCCAGCAAGCAATCCAGCACGAAAACAACGAAAGCACCGTGTGCCGCTGGCTTAACTAGTAGTTACCATTCTTCGCAACTCACAATTGGGTGCTTACAACCTATTCTGGACTGGCCATTACGGTGACAGGACGTTTAAAGCCCATCTACAATAGCCGCAAGAATAAGATTGTAAGCAATAAAGCCCGGCCCAGAATAAAGCCAGCGGCACACGGTGCTCGTTTTCGTGCTGGATTGCTTGCTGGATGAAAATACTGCGTTCTGATTAGTGCATTTCCATTCATCTTCGGAAATGTACCAATCAGAACGCAGTATTTTCATTTAGCAAGCAATCCAGCACGAAAACAAGCACCGTGTGCCGCTGGCTTTAGTTGCAAACACTCAGTTGCAGAGTTGCGAAAGATGGCAACTACTAGTTACAACCCAGATAGCACATGGATGTCCATCGGACGTCCGTTATATGTCCATTTTTTTTACAAAAGACGTCCATAGGACGTACGTTTGTCACAACTTCGGATATAGGACGTTCGAGGGACATATATTGGACGTTCCACAGGTCCGATGTTCAATAAGGATATCCTTGTTACATCCAATTTATGTCCACGGACATAAATCGGACATGCGGACATAAATTGGACGTGAAACGTACACTCGCGGACATAAAGGTTTGTGTCCGTTTGTTTGCAACTTTCGGAACGCATCTCGAGAAGAATGAGAGTCACTGCTCTGCCTGCGAGCACGCCTGCGCAGTGATTCACAACGAAAAGCGAGAAATGAAATATACACGGTGGGACATATTATAATAATATAGACTCAAATGAAATGAATACTCCAGCATTAAATGGAAATGAGGGAACACAGAACAGACAAGAATCATCCGATGTAAGTCTTATACTCCGGGGGACATCTGAAAAAGGTAGAGATAAATAAACATGTTTATTTTTTTAAAACAATACGAACTTAATTAAGAGAATTAAGCTGCATTACGATAGTTACGATTCTGTTATACATTTATATATGATTTATTGTTTCAGCAACAGCCATCTTCTATAGCAGAAGCAATGATATTAGATACAGAAGTAGCTGTTATAGCGAATTTTGAATTTTTGGGACATACAGACATGGACATGGAAGAGGAAAAAGATGGAGAGGATGAAATTTATGATGCAAATACAGATACCAAACTAAATAAAGTAACGTTTACTACCATCTTACATTTTAATGATATTGTTCACGCTATTTGTTAACAATTTTCTCATTTTTCAGGCATCTCTTTGTTTCTGCTCTTCTTTTCATATCTTCATTATATTTTCCTTTGTTCTTCTCAAAAACATATTTTGCCATGTGCGCATGTGATTACAAAATGTAAGAATATTTCCATGTATCAATATATCTTCTCATATAGACATAATAGAATGGATACAAATTATGAAGCTCTTTCTCTCTCGAGAGGGTTTTTTTCCTTATATTTTTATGTAATATGAAAAGAAAGATCGTTGATGACCGTGTAGATCAGAGCAGATATCAGAATATTAAAATACATGTTGAACCTCGAAGTAGCCAGGGTAGGCGGATTGCCGTCAATACCTTCGCTAGCTTTGTGCACATTCTCTCAGTACTCCTTCTCCATCTCCTTGTTCTTGGAAAAGAGAGTAACGTTGGACAGCGGTGGCTGAACGAAGTACGAACGTTGAGAGCTCACGTTGCTTGGACACATCTTTAGAGAAACGAAAGACCGGCTTAATGGATTTTGCTATCATTTGTGCAACATTTCTGCCAGCGATTCGCTTACCTAATCAACTGGACATTGGATCGCTTTCGCAGTTTATGAAAGCATGCGCCGAATGTATCCGTCACTATCGGTGGAAACGGGTAATGAGGTATCGACGACGAAGGCTCGTGAGTAGAATTTAACGTCCAACTAGAAGTATAATAGCCACTGACCCTGTGTCCTAAAAGATCGCCTTGGGCCATGCCGTTTATTAGGAATAACTGCAACAGGATTGTATAATAATGCAAATGAAACACGTTCTGTGGCAAGTAATTCACTCTGCAGTTGAAGCTGTACCAAATATATATACAATTTTCGGTACCTGCTGTTGTATACTACTTCGCTTGTTGTTGCTCTTGATGCCGGAATCCTTCCTGCTACATATGGAAGAAGCGTGACTATCGGTTCTTGACCAGTTAATAAAGGAGTAGAAGGTACAGGATTCGGATTCATTTCGACGCTATTGGTAAGAGGAATCTGCGGACGAAGTCAATCGTGACTGTCGAGAAACTACAAAATATGCCAAGTAGGGAAATCGCTCATTGAGCGGTTTTCTCCGCTAAACGCAATGATTGTTGACATACTTATGTCATACCACGTATATTTCATTTCTCGCCTTTCGTTGTGAGTTACTGCGCAGGCGTGCTCCGTAGGCGGAGCAGCAGCTCTCATCTTTCTCGAGTCGGAATACGTCCCGAAAGTCATTAAAAAAAAGTGACCTTTATGTCCGCGACCGTACACAATTCTAGTGAAAATTACTATCTACGTCTCGAAAGAAAAATGCATCGTATCCAATCGTATCCTATTTTTCTGTACTAGTTATAATTTATATATCAAATTCCTTTATTAAATTTTAGCTGTATTATCCAAAAATGTGCTAAAATAGTCAAATTTGAAATTTTTTGAGTTATCTAAATGCATGATATTAAAAATATTTTGTATTTTCGGTTATCAAAATTTTTTCATATTGCATTTTTGATACTTTTGCATAGTCTGCTTTTGCAGAGTCTGGTGCCAGACGCAAGGAGCACAACTATATTAATAATATTTATAAATGAATAAAAATGTTTACATTTTATTTTTAGAACTTTGCAGAGAGTATTGGTTGTTTTTTGTAGCTGCACTATTGAACTGGTACACTAAGTTAAAGTGAGACAAATATAGGTTTTCTCTAGCTTATTGCACCAGTTCAGCAATGCAGCTACAAAGAACGGACCGTATAAGTTTGTTGTTATCATATATTCACTTACAATATGTTTTCTGGATTTAAGCTTTCAACAGCCTTAAGAATTTCAGGCTGCGTTCCGAAATTCACTGCCAGTATTGAAATTCTATAGGCCTGTTCGTTTTATCTGTACTACTGAACTGGTGCAATAAGTTGAAGAGAGAAAACCTACGTTTATCTCACTTTAACTTAATGCACCAGTTCAGCAGTGCAGACAAAACGAACAGGCTTTATAATATATTTATTTATAACGTGACGTGAACTATAGATTTTTAGTACTGGCAGTGAATTGCGGAACGCAACCTTTGTTTGAGATACATCCGAGATACGAGAACTCGGTGCGACAACTATATCCAAGAAATCTAACCGAGATCTAGCATGGACACAAGGCTTTAGCGTGTTCGTTTCTTCGATGAGAACGAGCCAAGGTCTACGCATTCGGTAAGGTCGTGACGCGATCGGAGCGATGCGTAGGTTCGTACGGTTGTTCTTGCTCGTCGTTTATTCGCGTAGCTTTAGAGCAACGCGAGCAACGTGATCGGTGGTTCGTCAACGTGATGACGTCAGATCTTGAAGCATAGGCTGAGAACGCGTTTGAAGGCGACTAGGGCGTGAAAGCGTGCGTTCCTTCATCTCGGCTGAAAGTATGTGCAAATAGCAGCGCGTGTATTCGCTTGATCTGCGAGATAATTATGTTCGGTGCTGCTTTGACGTGATCGACAGTGAATAGTGTACCATGTTTCGCTGCATTCCGATTTTTAAGGGATGTAATAGGCAGGTGGAATACGTTGACAAGCGTCACTGCTCTCTGCCGTGCGTCCCCGACGATATTTTACGATACTCTCGGAGTCTGGAGGAGCTTCTGCTGGACGCGAATCATATCCGTGATTTGCCAAAAGTAAGCGGAATATTGTTTTTATTTATAATAGTGACTTTTTATTCCTTGCTGCATTCCTTACTTTTGTGCTCTTTCTGTCTCTGCTTCTCTTTCTTTCTCTCTTTATCTCTCTCTTTCTTGCTCTCTCACTCTCTCGCTCTTTTTCTCTCCCTTCCTCTCTTTCATTCCATCTATTAATCTATCATCTTTCTACTTATTATTTATTTACCTATCAATCTATCATTTCTACCTATTTATTTATCTATCAGTCTATCATTTATCAATCTGTCATCTCTCTATCTGTCTATTTATCCATCCATTCATCCATTTACCCATTCATCAATTTATCCAGTCATTCATTCAACTGTCCATCTATTCATCCATCCATCTGTTTGTCTGTTCATCCATCTATCCATCCATCCATCCATTCATTCATCCATCCATCCATCCATCCATCCATCCATCCATCCATCCATCCATCCATCCATCCATCCATCCATCCATTCATTCATCCATCCATCCATCCATCCATCCATCCATCCATCCATCCAACTATTCATCCATCCATCCATCCATCCATCCATCCATTCATCCATCTATCTATTCATCTATCCATCTATCCCTATCTCTCTTCCTTTCTCTTTCATTCTTATATACTATTGTATCTAGAATATAATCATATCATGATTATATATATGAGGCATACATATGAATATAACTTGAACAAAATTTATCTCTTTTTAATACACACTTCATTTATGAAGCATATATCTGTACACATGTATATACATATGTACCTATATATAACATATACACGTGTGTGTATATATGTGTATATCATTTTAGTTTTGTTAACAATACATACATACAATAAATACAATACTTAACAATATATATTATGAATCTCCTATGAGTCTTTGTCAGTAGCACGTTCTTATTTTTGTTTCAGAATTTCTTTAGACTTCAGAGATTACGAAAGCTTGGCCTCAGTGACAATGAGATAAATCGTTTGCCACCAGACATTCAGAACTTTGAGAATCTTGTGGAATTGGACGTATCCAGGAATGGTAAGAAATAAACCTATATTGTTTTCAGTTTCGTGCAATTAAGTATTCTCATTCTATCATACACATTCTACCATATACCTTCTACCATATACCTTCTACCATATACCTTCTACCATATACCTTCTACCATATACCTTCTACCATATACTTTCTACCATATACCTTCTACCATATACCTTCTACCATATATCTTCTACCATATACCTTCTACCGTTTTGCTTACAACTTGCCTTGATGACCATGCAGATTGATACATAAACGTTGCTTAGGAATTCGAGCAATTAATCGTAATTAATCCTACCGGGACGGACTTGCAAACGTTCTCATGCCCCGCTACTGTTCTCATCGTTCATTATCGTGTTACGTTTTTCTGTTCGATGTTTCATTATTTATTCTAATACGCATCGTGAGCGCATTGACGATCTGCTGAAGCGACGCTCACGTAGTAGAGCGCGTGTAAAAAGATCGCCTCTGATAACTAAAGAAGAAAGTCAAATTGAAAACGCATAATCGTCGCTGCGTAGTCGGATTGACTTGGTTATTATCATAAAAGGACGCGAATTTATTCTTCAGAGAGAAATCTCGCGTCATTTAAAATTCGACACGGCGACTGCTGGCGAGCGTCGATGAGATCTCGCATAACGGTGCATCTTCTTTTGCTTCCTGCTAGTTGCTTCCACCATAGCGCGTCATCGTGTTGCGGCTGCCGCGCCGCGCCGAGCCGAGACGGAGCGAGCCGAGCTGTTCCGAGCCGCCCCGCCTGTCACTGGCGTCGATCATAAATATTTCCACGGCGTATCGTTTTTTCTTTTACCATCCTACCTGTTGCAATGCGCTTTATTTGTTGGGAAGAGTTCGAGAGCGAGCGACTCTTGGAATTGGAAACTTCCCAGCGCTCATTGTATCTGAAACTTGGCGAGTGAAAGTTTTTGGGCCACGCCGAGCATACAGAAATGTCAATTTATGCATACATATTGTAGGTGTGATAGAAGTGCGAATATTCACGAGTTGCGATAATAGAGGGATAGAGAAGGGTCAGATCTGATCATTGTATTTGAAATTGTAGTTCTTAATCGCGGTGGATACTTTTCTTTTTTTCAGGGAACGTGATTAACTGCATTCTCGAAATTTACTTCGGTCGATCGTGTCTTTTTGTTTTGCAGCTGTTTGCATGTAACAGTCTGTGACTGTACAAAGTTAAAAGAGGATTTAGAATGTCTACACGGTATGTTCACATACAGCGAATACGTTACGGATGAACCACGACGGATTCTAAATAAAGATTTTCATATTAGATTAGTTCCGTCGATGATTGGTTGGCCGAGAAAACCAGCTTATTGACAGCGACACGGTCGATCATGCAGTCGTTACGTGTCGTTACGTTATTGCGAGTATGCTCGATGTAACACCGAGCGGCGGTGTTTTCATTTTCCATTGCAAGAGATAAAAACGTAACGAAACGTGAGAGTAACGTGATGTTACGCGATGAGTACGCCATTCACTCTTGCTTTAATATTGCTATCACAATATCGCTGCACATAATCTTTCTTCACAAACCGTACGATTTATACGTATACGAGATCCTTGGGATTCGAAGCTGCGATTTATACTGTCGAGCCTCCGTTTCTTATCAATTCTATTGATGTCTTTTATTACAACGAAAATAATTAACCAAATTGGATATATTAAATTATCGTTATGCATGATTGTAATACAGGGTCATTTCTAAATGTACATTAATGCTTCAGGAGATGAGTGTAGAGTTAGAAAAGTAAAGAAGAGAATATCATACAGACTTTTCCGAGTTGTAGCAAATTAAAGGAAATGTAACTGTCGTCCGCTCGCTATGGGTTTACAATGGCAAATACCCAATGGATTTTTAAATTATTTAGAGACACTTGCGTATTTTCTAACGACTGCAAGATTTAATATTAAGATGTGCATTGCAATGCATTATGCATACCTTAGCATTATAACTTGTGTAATTTTTAATTTTATATATGATATATAAGATTAAAAATCGTAAAAAATTTCCATAAATTATATTGATATTAATAACCGGGAATATGTCTCGAAGTGTTGAATAAATTATATCTTAACCATTCAAGTACGCAATTCAATCAATGTTGTTTATCAATTTGAGATCCTCATAAGACTACATCGTTTTTTGGGAATTATTCAATTGCTTGAGACCCTAAACGAGCTTTGAATTTTTCATATTTATTTGAGTGAAAGTTTTGTAAGCCTATTTACGTGATTAATTCCAAACCGACGCCGATCTCATACAAAAATCATGAGATAGATGTTATAATCACAATGCACTACAACAATGCACCAAAAAGTTATTCTCTAGGATCTTTAGAGGCAACCTCCTTATTAAAAGTTAATATAATAATAAATAAATATCAAAGCACGCGTTCGCATACACACATAATAAGGGTGTTCAAAAAAAGAAATTTTAAGAGGAATTTCTTAATCTAAATTTTTTTAACGCTTTTTTTAACTTTTTTTATTATTCACAAAGTGGAGGAAAAAAGTCCTAATAAACATGGATTGAAAAATCCTATCGATCTTCGGAAATTTCAAAATCATCAAATTAACAAAAACCAGGGCGCTATTATAACAATATATTCTTGAAGCTAAATAGAATAAAAAAGTCTAGTACTACTTTTTCTTTCAACAAATAGTTAACGGGATATCATAAGTTAAATATTGAAAAAAGTTATCAGGTTTTCCGTAAATATCTCAAAAAATATTAAGCAAATAAAAAAATGTTTCAGACGAAAGTTAAGTTAAAATTAATTGGTAAAAAAGGTATGATGTAATAAAAAATTGGAGTTTCCATTTAAGAAAAGTAATGATCGGTGAATATCTCAACAGTGGCGCCATCTGTAAACAAAATTATATAGTTGTTATATGTCCTCTTTGAAATTATACAACTTTTGTCTGAAATCTGTTTCTTAGTATCTTTCGTATTTTTTGAGATTTTTGTCTGGCTCATTTAAAATGGGACACCCTATATGACATGTTGTATAGTCGCAGATGAGCACTCAGAATGTTTCTTGTAATACTTCAAAGTTGTCATAACTCCGAAAATCGATACATCATCGCGGTGCTGAATTCCTCTCACAACATGCACTTGCTTGGTAATCCAATGTGGTCGTATCGCTCGTTGGCGTCACGTCACGCGGATCATAACACGCTATCGGTACGCAGGTATTTACGATCAATTATGCGTTCGGATATGTTACGTATTTGGGTCTCGTTTACAAAACAATATCTGTACACTGACTCATCGCGGAATTCGCTCTCGCCATAAAAACGAGAATAATAGCGATGCGATACACAACAGAGAACAAAGAGAACGCAGCAAATCGCTCGTTCCCGGACACTTGAAAAAATAGGCGGGTTACTCGCACGATCACGATAGATTTCAGATTGATAAGAAATTGTCATTCGATTGAGATAGTCGTACGTGTGTGTGTGTATGTGTATGTGTGTGTGTGTGTGTGTGTGTGTGTGTGTGTGTGTGTGTGTGTGTGTGTGTGTGTGTGTGTATGTGTACAGAAACTTGTCGCATGCTTGAGTTATACTCGTCTTCTAATCCACCTCCGTATCTCTCTCTTCTCACCTCTCGTCGCTCTTTTTGTTTCATCACAATTTGTTTACCTTTATTTAGAGTTCTCTCGCGGAAATTACGTCATTTTTGCTCGAACTAATCAGGCGTAATTTCCCATTGAAAAGTTCAAGGTTGTTCGCATTTGACATTCGCAGTGGACATTCCGAGTAAGCTGTTTTGCAAGCTGTTTTTCAAGGAACGTCGTGAACACGTATTTCTCGCGATATTGTTTAGCAAATGAAGTCATTCGTTAAATTGTCAAGTTGTCTGAACTGAGTTGATAAAGTACAACTTGTAAATATGTTTTAAAATTACGGATTTTATTGTTATTCTTTAATAATTTAAATAGAAAACGGCAAGATCTGTCTCTTTTTTCCTTCTTTTCTTCTTGTTGTTTTCTTTTAAGCCGATTCTCTCAACTTACGCCGTGCAAGTACGCGACAAAGCAGTGATTTCCCGCCATCTCCTTTCTAAGGTAAATTATAAAGGCCGAGGGTGAATGTTTCGTGCTATTTATAATGTTTATTGCGGTTGCATCAAAAGGGGTTACCGTCGTCTAGTGGATGATGCTGCGATGGCTTCTGAAAATTGATGGTATTCGGATGGAAAAAGGATGTTATATGCACCTGCAGTTGTTTGTGAACCGCCGGATCTTCATTCACCCGTATATTCTTTGCTATGCAATCGACCCTTTACTCCTTCTCTCTGTCTCTCCGACCCTCACGGCTAAATGTTCCACAAAAGTTCACCGCAAACCCACATACGGCGCAATTTCTTTTTCACTTTGTCCGTCTGGATCTGTTCCAAAACGTTAAAAAGAATTTAAGAGTTGAAATATCGGAGATACTTTATTAAGTGTTCCTTTTTATGACCAACTATCTGAATAGTGTTTATTTTGGCAAGTTAGTTTTATCTAAAGGTATCATTATACAGCAAATTTCTCATGATCATTCTTTGTTTCAAGTTGTTCCATTAAAATTAGCAGAATTTTTCGTAATTTTGATTTCTTGTAATTTAATTTCGCTTTTTAGTCTTCAACGAAATGAAATATTCTCGATTCCGAACTCTTGGTCTCTAACTAAAATATTATTTTATAATAATTAATGCGGCGTGATAAAAAAAAATCAAAGGTCGAGGAAATCTGTCGTGGTGTACTTTTTCTGGCGGAATCACGGTTTGTTGTACATAATTTCCTCTTGTCACTGTCACGGTGCGTGTAACTCGTATATATGACGGAGCCTCTCTCTCTATTTGAACGTTCATAAAGCGAAACGCAACAGGTTGTATAGCCTCTGTTTTTTTTTTTAATAACAGAATATACAAAGTGTGATTGAAATATGAAGAACGTGGAGAAATTGTTCCCGAAACTCGGAAGCTACGTCGAAGCAGTTGAGGGCCAATGTTCTGTTCTTTGTAGCCATGTATTCCGTAAAAATTAATTCCGTAAATTTCGAACAGTCTTTCATCCAGGGTTGGGAAGTAACTCGTTACTTGTAACGAAGTTACAGTTATAGTTTTTTTTTCTGGTAACTATAACTTAACTTAGTTAAACTTTGTTTAATAACTAGTAATTAATTTAATAATTACTTTAATAGTTACTTTATATATTTTAAACTTCAGTTTCTGGCGGACCCAGCACGATAACGCGACGTGCGATGCTTGATATCCAATAAACATACAGTTATTCTAGCTGCATTTGAAAAACATGCTATTGCGTCATCTATCTTTATCGTTCGTTAGATGTAAAACAAGGATAAAATGACGCAATAGCGCTGATGATCTCTTCTCCAACCGCAACCTATTTCTTTCAAAAAAAAATTATACACCTATTGGACATTTCCGTCGTGCGTCGCCAATTCTTATTTGTTAACATAACTTGCGTAAAGTAATTTCAGTTATATAAAAAATTTAAGCAATGGATAAAATATCTCGATCTTCGGAGAAGGATTGTAAAATGCCATGGCCAACATATGCAGAAATATTTGAGTCGCAGCAAAAACTTGGAAACGAGAATAATTGGACATTTCCCTGCCCAGTTGTTATTAATAGTCTTAAAGAATAAATATAAATTGCTTATTTAAATTAATGAATCTAATTTGTAAAAATTATATACAATATGAGGAATATATAATAATCAACAATAAACTATTTTTATATAAAATTGAAGGAATTTACACAGTTATGAAATTTAAAATAATAGCACTATTATTGTAAAAAAGTAATTGAAAAGTAGACTCGTTATTTTCTAAATAACTATAACTGTAACATGTTATTTTTAAAGTCAATAACTTGTAATTGTAACTAGTTACTTTTTCAATGAAAAAACTGTAACTATAATTAGAGTTGGAAAAGTTACTTTTACAAAGTAACTTTTCCAACTCTGTTTTCATCCATGATGAATGATCAGAATATGTAACGCTTAGGTTTTTTTTCTTTTTTAATGTGTTTCGCTTAACCAGTATTGGAAGTGATATCGTTGATGCGTTTGCTAGACTATCGATCAATGCTTATCTTTACAGATATACCAGACATTCCTGAGAACATCAAAAACCTACGAGCGCTACAAGTGGCGGACTTCAGTAGCAATCCTATTCCAAGGTTACTTAATCATTTTTATCTCTTCTATTTTCAAGCAAAGTATTGGTTCGCGTTGTATACATTGCGATTTTTTTTTTCTTTTCGATACTGTCGATGAAATATTTTTATCACTCCGACGCAATTCAATGTGAGACAAACTTTAATCTTGTTGTTTCAGACTTCCAGCAGGATTTGTACAATTAAGAAACTTAACTGTGCTCGGACTTAATGATATGTCCCTTACGAACTTGCCACCTGATTTTGGAAGGTAAAAGGAAAATATATTTGAAAATACTTCTTCATTGTGCACACTATTTTACTTATATTATTTTATTTATATTATTTCATTTTGCACACTATTCTTATTTCATTGTTTTATATATGATTCCAAATGCATTTTTCTTCGATACTTAGCTTGGAAGCACTGCAGTCATTGGAATTAAGAGAGAATTTACTCAGATCCTTGCCTGAATCACTCTCTCAGCTCTTCAAACTCGAACGGCTGGATCTCGGTGATAATGAAATTGAGGAATTGGTAAGTGCAATCGTACTTTTACGATAAAAATTCTTTTCACCTCGAATTTTTATCATTGATAACATATTAATAATAATTCTTAGAGAAAAAGTAATATATAAAAGATGGTTTTATTTACAATATCTTTACGCTGTGATTATAGATATTATTTTTATGAACGTTAAACGCTTTATAAATTTTATATTGTTGTCTGCATTTTTAATTGCCTCTTCGGATGTATTTAACATTGTGTTATGGTTTTTACGTTAAGTAATGAAACTATAATCTTGGTTAAAATTGAAATTGAAAGAATGCTTTTTTTTTTATTATATTTCTTTTCTGCAGCCTGCACATGTAGGAAAGTTACCAGCGCTGCAAGAGTTGTGGCTCGATCACAATCAATTGCAACACTTGCCCCCTGAAATAGGCGAACTCAAGACGCTGGCATGCTTAGATGTTTCTGAAAATCGTTTGGAAGATCTCCCCAATGAAATTGGCGGACTCGAGTCATTGACAGATTTGCATTTATCGCAGAATGTTATCGAAAAATTACCTGATGGACTCGGCGAACTCAAGAAATTAACTATTCTTAAAGTAGACCAAAATAGACTTTCTACTTTAAACCCGAATATAGGAAGGTGAATGAATATGAAAATCCTTATCTTGTTGAAATTGGATACGAATTATTAGATAAATACTCATTTAAAATAAAAAATTTCCTGTACATTCACATATTTTATATACATCTTTTAGGTGCGAGAATTTACAAGAGCTGATTCTTACAGAGAATTTTCTCTTAGAGTTACCGGTGTCTATAGGCAAACTCCACAATTTAAATAATTTGAATGTTGATAGAAATAGTGTACAATCTCTACCAATAGAAATTGGTAAGATGTTTCAATGCGAACGACAATTGTCCATGCAATATTATATCTTAAAAATGTGCAAATCATCATCTATAAGGAAATAATTCAATGTAATTGTAATCTTAATATTTTTTCTATTTTCTAGGAAATTTAAAGAAACTAGGTGTACTATCTTTAAGAGACAATAAATTACAATATCTTCCAACCGAAGTGGGACAATGCAGTGCACTTCACGTTTTAGATGTATCTGGAAATAGGTATATAACTTTTATTGCGATTGTTTACTACGTTATTATAATTAATAAAGTAAAATTCTTTTAAGCGAAAGAGCAAGGTTTTAACATTTTGTGATCAAATATATTGTCTTATCTTTTATTTTAAATGAGTAATTTTACACAATTTTATTCTGCAGGTTACAGTATTTACCATATTCTTTAATCAACTTGAGTTTAAAGGCAGTATGGTTAAGTGAAAACCAGGCGCAACCGATGCTAACGTTCCAAACGGACGTAGATGAGGAAACAGGGCAAGAAGTACTAACCTGTTTTCTCCTGCCACAATTAGAATTCCATCCTGATGGTTAGTAGTGAACAAATTCATCGTATTTATTATATATTTATTTTTCGTGTATTTCGTATATTTCCTATATAATATATATCGTTTATTGTATATATATGTACAATTAATCGTATTTTAGTTTTATTACAATATAATTGTATATTAAAATGAAACAGAACAAATAGTTAACACATAACTCTGTTTATTTTGCCTTTCAGATTCAGGTAGAGTGGGAATATTGACTGGTATGAGAAATGTTCATGGTGAAACACGTGAGTTGAGCGATGACGAAGGTTGGCAAGAAAGAGAAGCATCAAGGACGCATTCAGTGAAATTTACTGATGAACCACCAGAAGCCGATAAAGAGGTATATTTATTTAATTCTTACTCTTATGAGTAATTTTATAATCTGTGACAGCTTTTTAATTCTTTCATTTCTTTTAGACACCATTCGTACGTCAGAATACGCCACATCCAAAAGAACTGAAAGCTAAGGCACATAAATTATTCAGCAAAGGAAGAAGTGAAAGTCGATCGGCATCCACAGATGAACAGGTAACTTTTCAACATTATCAAGATAACATTTTAATTGTTTTTACAACTTTATATAGCATACAGTATGTTAGTCTTTTACTATGTACTTATTAGTATGTTGCATTACTGTGCAAATTAATAAATATAAAACTTTTACAGGATGTTTCTCAAACATTTGGATTAGATAAAACCGAATCAGAGACACCGATTAATTCTGCAGACATGCCACAGGCTGCTTCTGAGCAAGAACAGCTTGTGGAATGTAGTACTATACAAAATGACCATAATGTAGCCATATCTGAATCAGATAACATGGGTGCTCAGTTTAATAAAGAAACAGAGAATTCTGTTCAGTGTGTAGAATTTAACGCAGTAAGTAATTTATAAAATAGTCTCTTCAGTATAATAGTTATAAGAGCAATTATTTTTTATTCGATATGTCGAGTTTTGATGTTCCATTTTAATAATTCAAATATTCATCGACTGAAGCATATCTACAAACGCTTATAATTCATACTGTTATATCCGATCTTATTAATGCAAGACAATCATTTCCGTAGAATGTGGAAACTGAAAATTCTGTCTCAGAATCAAAGGAAGAGGATGAAGAGGAATATGAAAGCGAAGATGTGCAGAAACATGTTGAGTTCAATATTATAGAAGACCCAAATTATGAAGATGGTTCTGATTCTAATAAGCCCAATAAATTACAACGTAGAGACACTCCGCATCATTTAAAAAATAAGCGCATTCAACCAATTGACAAAGAGAAAGTTGCAGCCATTATCGCACAGGTTGCTTTTAGATAAATAAAATATGAAATATAATTATAAAAAAATATGGTGAACATGCATAATCTTTTTGAAATATGAAAAAGACAGTATCCCGAAAATTGATTATTGAAACAATTTCCTAAAATATAATTTTTCTGTAATATTGAAAGCGTGCAATTGTACCTCAGAAAGTTATAATATCGAAATCCAAATACTTTATCGTTATAACTAAGGTTGCTTATATGATTTTTAATTTTATATATATATATATATATACTTAATTATTATATAACCTTAGTTTTAACGGTAAGACATGCATGATGCAATGTATATTGAGATAATGTGTGTATCGTATGAATATCTATACAACTTTGTATAAATGATACATGGAATATATCGATAATTGAATGAATTTTTTTCAAATATCAAATTACATCCACATGTTCACTATGTTAATAACTTATTAACACACTGGAAAGCACGATTAGAGTAATTAACTGTAAAGCATATTTAAATCATATTTATGTTGGTTATTAACATTTAGCTGGCATTGATATCAACATTTTGTATTTATAGGCATTGAAAAGGGTTGACGCTGAATCTTCTGCACCTGCATCTACAAAAATAGAATCTCCTGAAACATTTGATTCACATAGTCAAGGTGAATACGTGAATAAAGTTGAATAGTAATTATATAGTTGCGTTAAAGTTTAATTGTTTATATCTTTCCACAAATAGTTTGTATTTTCATATTAATTGATATTTGTTTATTTAATTTTTATCGTGATTATAGTATATGATTATTATCTTGTAATAACGATAAAAGTTTTTCTTCGGTAGTGAGGAATTTCTTATCATTAATTTTAAAGGCTATTTACGGCGCTTAAATTTATTATTTGGGGGAAGAGACATGATAAGAGTCTTACTCATCCACTATCTTATCTTTAATCCAGTTATCAGTGTAACTTTCGATAATATACGTTTAGTATGGAAGTTGTAACATCGTGATACAGTGCTCGTTTATATGTGATGTGTGATATTTTTGGCGTAGGCGAATCAAAACGAGAATATTGTTTGACATAATGCCTAAAAGATATAAATGTTATGTTAGAAACAAAACAAAGAAATGTCGGTACTGGAATGTTTAACACTAATATTATACATTCACCAACATTTGATTAAAATGTATTAACGTGCTTGCACAAAGTTGTTAATTAGAGATTTATTATTTTAGATGCAACATCTGACATTGAACCAACATTGGAGATACGTGAAGAACAATATGAAATTCATATAGAAAGAACAACAGGTGGTTTAGGCCTGTCAATTGCCGGTGGTAAAGGATCGACACCTTTTAAAGGTGAAGATGAGGGAATTTTTATTTCAAAAGTTACTGAAGGTAAATATTTATTTTTAAGTTATTAACTTAATGAAAAACGTATCGATGTGACAATTTCATATTGTATAATACTAACGCTTCTTATTATCTGTATTTTACTAGTTTATTTTTGTTATCTAGAATGCATTATTGTTTGTTGTATAAATGTTTCTGTTAATTTATCACACGTTCACGTACTAGTAATTTTTATATATATTTTTAGGTGGACCTGCAGATCTGGCTGGTTTAAGGATAGGAGATAAAGTAATATCTGTAAATGGAGTATCGGTAGTAAATGTAGATCATTACGATGCCGTAGAAGTGCTAAAAGCGTGTGGACGTGTCCTTGTATTAGTTATTATAAGGGAAATCACAAGGATAGTTCCACCATATGAGGAAGTATGTATAATTAATTTTTTTTTATACCTCTGTTGTTTTCTCTATTACTTCATGATGATATTACATTTAGACCAAAAGTCGTTATCCTTATTTTAAACGAACAAGATTGACTTTCGTTATTTTCAGACGACGAGAAAAGATTCCGTATGTTCTAGTTTGAGTACAAGTAGAGCACCAAGTGCAACATCATATGTTTCGTCCACAGCATTATCGCATACTTTGGAAAATGGTGATACGTCCACATCCCATGATACTCCGAAGGTAACACGTTCGTGTCTGATACTTTCAGTAATCTTTTTAACGAAATACGATATTGACTTGATTTTTTAATGTGCTGTATCTCACAGACTAGAAAGATTCCTGAACCTATAACAACTATAAAATCGAATAGTGACCCTTTGGTGCCGGTTCTTGTTCATACAACATTAATACGTGATCAAAATGGGCTCGGATTTAGTATTTCTGGTGGTGAAGGTACATCTAAAAATAATAGCGATGTAAGTATTCTTTTTCGTAATATGAACTTATTACTTCTTAATACTTTTTTTTATGTAATTATCGTTAATATATTTATATTTATGCATTCGATGAATTTTTAGGTAATAACCATTTCGAGAATAACAGATGGCGGAGTTGCCCAAAAAGATGGCAAGCTGTTGGTTGGAGATAAAGTGATATCTGTAAGTATATTCCCGCCGAATTTATTAAATTTATATTAGATGATAAAATTGAATTTTTATATTTACCGAAATCTACACTATTTATAATATCTATCGCATATGTTAAATAACCATAAATTGCAGATTAACGGAGTAGAGATGAAAGGAGCGAAACATGAGCAAGCGGTGGCTTTACTTACCGGCTTGGAAAGATTTGTTCGATTGGTAGTCGAACGAGAAATACCACTTTCTCAAGCGAATCCTTCTACTATCGTAACTCCTTCCGAAAAATCACCACGTGTTATAGGTGCGCCCAAACCATACACAGGACTGTATAATGCTAACAGTTACATGGCGAACAGACCTGGATACGGCGGATATCGTCGCTCCATTGACGCTGATAAAGCTCTATCGCCCAGTCCTACGTCTAAGACACCACCACCACCACCGCCACTACCAGCGACCTTTCCTGTGAAATCCGATGTCATCAATGACGCGCTTAAGATGAATGGCATAACTGAATCGGGCAACGCGTTGAAGAATGTTTCGCCAGTGTCCCCTAGTTCAACAATTAATCAAGCATATCCGCAACCTGCTCCGCGACATAGTGTTTTGCAGCCGACGTTCGCATCTACGAATAATGCCAGTTCTGCAGGAACAACTCCCAGCGTAAAGCCCTCGCAGAGACCAGCGTCTCCGCAGGAAGATATACAGGTACCGAAGCCAATCACCAACGAGGAATTTCAGGCTATGATCCCCGCTCATTTCCTCCGACCACCAACATCCTCGCCTTCACCAGACTCCCATCAAGGCCCAATTGTGACAGTGACGATAAAACAGCCCGATAATTTGCCTGGAGATGTTAGCTTTCCTCCAGCTCCTACCGCACTCGGTAAAGTTACTGAAATCATCACAAAGAGCACGCTCACCGAGACCGTCGTAACTCGAGTGACCGACAACCAGTTGATACAACCGCTTATTATTGAGGTATGTGCCTGGTAGTTAGACACATCAAATATATGTATTGCACATTTATCGACTTAATGCTCTTCTGTATCCTGTAATCCTATAATCCTGTAAGAAGCTTTACTTTCATTACGTTTCATCATTTTTCTCATTTTCATTAATTTTTACGCTGACTTAAGTTTGTATGACATACGCACTTGTTACATTAATTCATTTCTTAAGCTTTTTTGTTCTAAGAAAACAAGTTCATAAAACTTTCATTGTACTTCATTTTATTTTTTACATATGCGACTAAAAAATACACGGGTGCATATCTGGATATGCGAATAAGAAAATAGCTATTTTACACGTACTTACTACCCATATGCACTTTTATAAATAAGAGAAAAATAATAAAAGAATGTATATTAATCTCTCCTCATTTAAATTCATCAAATAATATTTTATTTAACTTTTCACTTCTAGCTTATTTCCATGCTATGATGATAATTCTAATTTTAAAGCAATCGCGCGTGCGTTTTCTGATTACAATTAAATTTACAAAAAAATATATGTATATTTCAAATTATAAAGATTATTTCTTAAGATCCATTGAAACGTATATGCTTTTATATTTTCGAATCTTTTTTAACATTTTATATTTGTTTAGTTCAAACGTATAAAATAACAAGAAATTATTTTACATCTTCATTGTTTTTGTATATCATCATCCTTTCCTGTTGTTTAAATCTAATCTTGTTTAATTCAAATATAACATTTTCTTGTATATAATTAGATACATAATTAAAAAACACTTAAGCAGATATTCGCGCAAAGTTATAATCTAAAATACGAGTACAAAGAAATCGTATGTTCTCAAAATAAAGATTATAAACTATTTAAAATATTATAAATTATTTAAATAACTTATTATAGTTATTCTGCATGTTTAAATATTTATATTATAATTATTATGTATACGTGAATATTTGTACTCGGCTGTATTTCTCTTGGGTTTTACATATTTTTCGTAAATTGACCTAAAAAATGTTCAATAAACTAATCTCAAAGTATATATATATACATATGTATATATATGGGATGTTCCGCGTCAACCGGATCACCGGCGCCCTCAAAAATTGACGCATCGGATTGGGACGTGTGAGAGCTTGAATTGTTTGTCTACTCGAATACTTTCAAAAGTAACATGGCCTTTCCGGAAATTCAAAGTGGTGGCTTGAAAATATAATTGATTGAAAATATATTACGGTTCTCGTGCGTCTTTCAGTATATTTAGTGCCATCTGGAAACCATCACATTGAATTTCCGGAAAGGCCATGTTGCTTCTGAAAGTATTCGAGTAGATAAACAATTCAAGCCCTCACATGTCCCAAACCGATGCGTCAATTTTTGAGGGCGCCGAGGATCCGGTTGACGCGGAACATCCCATATATATTAACAATGACTTTAATTAAAGTAAATATAACTGTCGAGATGGACTATTATAAACATGTTGCTTATCTTCTGGCATGGAAATAGGTAAGTAGTGTAGATTTGTTTGTTGTCCTATATTATTCCTAATAAAAAGAAATATGTAAAAAAGCTCGTCATAGTAGTAAAATTTACGTTGATATATGCGCTGTCTTGTGCTATTTTTACCTCTTAAGAAAATCCTTCTAAACTCTTATTATTCCATTAGTACTTTTAGCACCTTGTAAAATTGGAAACTTTATTTAAATGTATATTTAAATGTATAATCAAGTTATTGTATTTATTATCATTTATTATCATTATTGTATTCAGGATGTTGTCCTTGTAAAAGAAGGCTCTTTGGGCTTCAGTATCATAGGAGGGACAGATCATTCGTGTACTCCGTTCGGTGCAAAGGAACCTGGAATTTTTATATCTCATGTAAGTTTTATCATTTTTCTTTAATTTAAAATTCTATTCATTTATTTACATATATTTTTTATTCTAATATACTTACATACGTCTATGGTATATTTATTTTTATTATAAATATATTAGGTTGTTCCTGGTGGCATAGCGGCCAAGTCTGGTAAATTAAGAATGGGTGATAGGATACTGAAGGTAAATGGGACTGATGTGACAAAAGCTACTCATCAAGAAGCAGTAATGGAGCTTTTAAGACCAGGGGATCAAATTGTGCTTACTATTCAACATGATCCACTTCCAGAGTGTTATCAGGTGAATATTAATTTCATTGAGTGCTGGGTAATCTCATTGAGCATAGTAACTCTCTCAAACAGCTATTTAAGTTAGTAATATATATATATATATATATATATATATATATATATATATATATATATATAGAACTATAAGTTTACAATATATTAAATATAAAGATATATTACGAAGTTTTATACAAGTATGCATATTCTTTTCATCATTTGGAACTGATTTTATTTTCACACTATACAACGATCTGTGATTATACATTATACATACAAACACATATACACAGAGAGAGAATGTATGTTCGAGACTACCCGTTCGTCCCTTTTAAAATAAAGAGAAGTGGTTTTTTAGCAAAACTCCGAAAAATTTTCATAAGTACGCTGCTCTGCCCAATGGAGATATTTTAAACTTTTAGTATTGACCGGGAGTTGACTATACAGACCAAAAGTTGAGTTTTTTAAATGGAACGTAGCATTTTTTATTGCATATTCGGATTACATACAAGAAAAATAATAAATTTTTGTCACAGACAAATATCTCTGGTGATCTTGAAATGATATTGAATTTGTAGTGAAAAAATAAACTTTTACTGTGTTTCTGGGTGAGTTTATTCAGCTAAGTGTTCAAAGTACCACTCTGTGCGATGCAAGTATTTACTTTGCTTCAGAAGAAATTAGTTATTTGAAAAATTTTATCAGTATCTAAAGTTCAAATTATTTTATTTATTCTATAAATTATATTGTACTTTGTAGTCGGACGTAGTCGATATATCAAATTGTTTATCTTTCCTTACAAGTAATAATTAAGGACGGTGAGATCCGATGATTGAGGTGGATAATTTATTGGATTGTATTATTCACTTGTTGGGATTCGCACACGTTAGTTTTTTTCTTTTTCCCCCGGAATATTCAATTAAAGTGCTATGTTTTATTTTAAAAACTTAACTTCCGGTCTTCATACCTAATTTCCGGTCAGAAATTGAAAATAGTTCTATTGGGTGTACCCCATTTAGTCATGAAATTGTTGGGATTTTTACTAAAAACCATTTCCGATCATTTTAAAAGAGATGGATGAGTGATTTGAAATACTCTGTATGTAAATATGTGGATGTACATACACGCACACGCACGCACGCACGCACGCACGCACGCACACATGCACATGACGGGCATATACACGCACATGCGCACACAGAATGTCTTATAACTCAGTACGAGGAATTTGTGGAGATATAGAGCGAATCAAGACAGACATAAAAATCCCATACTGTTTCGCAATATTCATAATAACTATCAAGTTATTAATTATAGAAATTTGATGTATGAGCGTGTGCCGAAATGAATGATTGGAGGAACATTATAGCTACTCCAACAATAGAATGGTCCAGTCGATCAATTAAATGTTGCTAGCGCGCGGCAGGAGGAAGAATAACTTGCCGCTATTCGTATCTTATCTCGTCGCTGCTGTCTCATCGCATACCGACAACAGTTGCCAGATTAACCGGGCCGTGTTAGACTCAAACGATTCTTACAAGATCATCTCAGCGCGTGCTCATTCGTCAAATTTCTATAATTAATAACTAGATAACTATTGCAAATATTGCAAAATAATATGGGATTTTTATGTTTGCCTTAATTTGCTCTATGTTAATACGAATTCCTTGTACTGAGTTATGAGATACCCTGTATATATACATATATAAGGGTGATCCATATAAAATGACAATCTAAAAATTCTAAAAATATTTGTCATAATAAAAAGTTGTTCATGAGAAAGTTTCCTGTATTCGAGGGATTTTTCTATGTATAATAAAAATTCGCTCTGCTTCCCCTTTGAAAGGATGTAAAGTAACCGTAATTTCAAAGAGAATCTCCTATAAAATGTTATAATACATATTTGGATCCTACGAAAAAAAAATTTTATCTTTGAACATTTCTTTGAAAAATCTTTCTTTATATCAAACATTTAAACTTTATAATAGAGTATATATATTCAAACTAATGTGATAATATCATAAATTTATTAAGAGATTTTATAGTTTGTTTTTTTTTTGGTTGAGCGAGCTGTTGAGCATTCACATTTAAATATTTGTTAATTCTTTCTACAAAATTTTTTCTAACTCTAAACAATATTCCTGGGAGTCATGTTCTAGCGTAATCTTCATATATTCTTTGTTTTAAATCTTCTTTCCTCGTAAGTGATTGAAATGTGATTGATTGTCTCTTTAGTTTATATTTAACAAAATACAAAAGCAGAAAAGTAGAAAAAGTATGAAGTCTTTTATTGAATTGATGGTTTTATTACATTAATTTGAATGCACTGTCCTATAAAGTTTAGATATTTATAACTTTTAATACAGAAGCATTTTCCAAAGAAATGTTCCAGATAAAATTTGCTTGCTTTTTTTCCGTAGAAACCCGTAAGATCCAAATACGTAACATTGTAGAAGGATTCACTGAAATTACGAAATTATCTCCTACTTTTATTCAAGGGGGAACGAGAGAGAAGTTTTGTTAGAAAGACCTCTTGAATATATGAAACTCTTATGAACAACTTTTTGATACTTGTAATACAATTATTTTTCAAGTTTTTCGGTTATCACACTTCAGGGTTGACTATCTGTGTATAGCATTATTATTATTTCTTAACTTTTTACTCAGATTGCAATATACGGTTAGTAAAATGATTTTCTACAACTTTTAGATCACTATTGTGTTATAAATATATGCACACTTAAGAAACCGTTTCTTAGAAAAAGATTGCTATATAACTGTTTTATGCTTAGAACTCTAGGCACTCTACTTAACAAGTGAAATATTTTTTAAAAGCATTTCTTTCTTCATATTTCGTTAACATTTGTTTTCTTTAAAGGAATGCTTGTTAGTTGCAAATATAATGGCACTCGGTGCTTTTACGTGTGATTATTTCCTTACCTAATGCGGTTCTTTTTTATAATTTGCCCCACAAGCTGGTCGAAATAGAGTACATCCCTGTGACAGTAAGTACTCGATGCATCTGACCCGTAATTTTATGTTCTCATTTATGCTTGTTCCCACACCACGGCTGCGAACTTCACTATTAGATTACGAATGATTCGCTTTTGCTTATGCTGATATTTTGTCATTTTAATTTATTAGATTTCGTTTTCTAGAGCTTCTTGTGCTTTGTATCATGGCATTATACTTAGTATTAGTACTATATTAAATCAAGTAAAAGTGAGACGGTTTCATTCTCTATAAAAATTTAATTGGACTTTGTTTATTCTTGTAATCTTTTCAGTGGTGATGTCTAAAACATAATTTTATCTAACTCCCTTGATTTATAGCATTAAATTTTTCTCTTATCTCACCTGTAAATTTGAACATGGTTAAAAGTACATAAATAAATATCAGTTGTCCTTAAGTGTAAATAAACCATTTTATAATACAAAATATATATAGTTTTACAAGGAAAAGATCTTTACAAGGAAAAGATGCAAAGTAATATTTGTAATTTGTAATATTCTTTCTTTTTTTGATTTTATACAAAAGTTTAAGATATAAAGGATTAATAATCTTTTATCAAGAGAACTGATTTACTTTGTTTTAGGAATTGGTAATAATAAGGGAAATAGGCGAAAAACTTGGTATGCATATTAAAGGAGGGCTAAGGGGACAAAAGGGTAATCCACTCGATCATACCGACGAGGGCGTTTTTATATCGAAAATTAATTCCGGTGGTGCAGCTAAGAGAGACGGACGGTTAAAAGTAAGTGCATTTGTAATATTTGCATATTGTTTACTATCTTGTTTCGATATATTCATGTTTAAATATCAACATATTTTTTTAACAGGTTGGTATGAGACTGCTAGAGGTCAATGGCACATCGTTACTAGGTGCAACTCATCAAGAAGCTGTAAACATCCTTCGGTGCTCGGGAAATACGATTACTTTGGTTGTATGTAAAGGTTACGACAAAAGTGAGATTGAACCGATATTATCGTTATCCGACAGTAGAGATCTCAAAGAAACTAAAATACCCCACGAGTTGAAGGATTCGACTGCGGATGGCACCAAATCTCTGTCGCAAAGTGTATCTAGTTTAGACCGAGACGACGAGACGACTGCGACAATTAGGGAGCAAGAAGAAATGAATGCTGAACTTGAATCTTGGGAGAAAGAAGAAGAACGCGCATTAGTTGAACAAAGAGAAAAATCCACGCCCGAGAAAGTAATTCTCATTTGGTCTATATATGATATCTATAATTTATATTAAGAGGGAACCCAGTGTATCTCATCTAACAATAAGATAGTTTTACAAATTATTTTTGAGAAAACTATTGCTGATATCAGAATGAACTTTTTTTTTTAGATTTAAGAGGATCCTTAAACTACTAACTAAAAAAAAATATTTTTGTGTTTGAAGTTTGTTTATTATTTTTTGAACTGCGTGTAATGTCATGTATGTGTATACCCATTATTGACATGCAGTGTAGCACTTGTCACAGTCACTTGAAAGCTATACGACAAGATTCTTTTTAAAGTTAGATAATTAACACTGAGATTATACTTATTACAAAAGCAAAACACGAAAAATTAAAAATTCCAGCTTTTAGAAGAAAAATGAAATATTTTAGATAAAATAATCGACATTCAATTGTTGATAAAAATGTTAGAAATAAACAATACAATTTTCCTGACCTCGCTGCGGTCACTGATGACGAAGTAAGAAAAAAATACACATTCACCAGTCCTCCAAAATACTCAATATGTTGAAAAGATATATCCATAAAATGATACATTCAGTCAATCGAATAGATCTGTAAAATATTCTGAAAATATTGTTCTTTTCTTTCTTTGACAATCAATAAATTACTGCACATTTATTACGATATGCACAATTTAACTTTATATTATTTTTATTACTACATTTTTTCATGTAATTTTATCATATCAATTTTATGGTTATTGATTGTTAGATTTTTTCCTAATTTTGTTGCGTAAATTTTACGGTTATTGATTGGATTGTTAGAAAAAGAAGGTTTTAGGAATATTTTAAGAATGTGTTATTTTAGAAATTATGTAAACGTATTTATTTTGCAAGTTATTATTTTGCAAGTTTTAAGAATATATTTTCTCATTTTCGAAGTTATAAGATGACCGTGGAGAGGATTCAAGATTTCTAAAAAAATTTAATTGATTAAGATAATTACAAGATATTTATATATATATACATATATATAAACTTACATACGTCATATTAAGTTTTATAATTATATTTTGGCACAGGTATTAGACGTCGTACGAGCAGCGGAATCATTAGTAAGCAAATCAAATAGTCCTGTTGATATGATACCGCCAAAATCACCCGGAGGTACCAAAGATCTTAAAACCACTACCATTGTCATGAGTAAACATACATTAGCAGCTCAAAATCCTAATGTAAGTATTATACTGCATTGTTTTCTTTAAGTTACTCATATTTATATCAAAGAAAAACTGATTTGAGAATAGATATAGTTCATATAATGTACCGCAATTACCGTCTTTCGCTTTATTTATCGATTTGATCGATTTGTTTCTTCAAGAAATTTATTTCTACTGCTTTTATATCTATTTTTTTTGTAAATTCTTACATTTATACTTGATTACAATTAGAGAACTATTAATGTTTTGACATTGAAATGTCCTTATTTTTTTTACTTGGACCTTGGCGTACTTGATATTTGCGATTTTCTTATGTTGACGGTAGTTCCGGAACATTTCGTATATACGTATCATTGGAAATACAAATGACATCATAAGTAAAAAAGAAATTATTATTCTAATTTACATGTAAATTAAAAATACATATAATTTCTTTTGTTATAATACTGCATGTATCATAATTTTAACTTCAATAATTTATTAATTGTTAGTATATGGATAATGCACTCTTTCCTTATCATTGGCATTGTTTTCTTTTCATTTGCTTTGTATGGCTTTTGACACAAAAAATATATAACTTATACTTTTTCATCTAATACATATATACGTACATACATATATACATACATACATACATACATACATATACAAGGTGTCTTATTTAACTTGAGACATCGAAATAACTCAAAACAAAAAAGAAAAACAAAAGTCGCTGAAACACGTGTCGAACGAATTCCGAAGACAAATAAAATGGCATGATTCCTTTTTCATTTGGTAGACGTCCTTAAAGTGATTTTAAGGTCAACTTTGTTATTTCAAATTAAAACCTATATTTTTTTATGACGGAAGCATATTCTACGTAAAGAAACAATTAACTTTTATCTGAAAAATTCTTTTTTTGATCATTACTTTCGGACACATCGTACGAAGTAATTCCGATTTTTATTCGAAACGAATAAAATAAACGTATCACAATAAATGCTCAAAATGATGGCTTTCCATTTCCAAACACTTATTAATGCAATTAATAGATCTATGCACTGATAATAAAGCCTCTGGACGTATATCGCGACAGGCATTTCGGATTCGCTGTTTTATGTTTTTTGGTGTGATTAGTCGATCGTGATAAACTTTTTCTTTAAGATGGCCCCATAAATAAAAATCTAACGGTGTTAAATCAGATGACCTCGCCGGCCAGTTAACTAGACCTCCCCGATCTATCCAGCGATCAGGATATTTCTGACTCATTATTTGGCGTGCATAACGCGAATAGTGAGCTGGGCATCTGTCCTGCTGAAACCACATATTTTTTCTATCTGCTAGGCTTACTTCGAGTAGTACGGGTAATTCTACATCCAAGAAGTTTCCATATTTCACTCCATTCAGCGTACCATTGATGGAAAAAGGACTTATTATTTTATTGCCAATGATTCCACACCAAACATTGACAGACCATGGACGATATTCTACTTCGCGAAGCCATCTCGGATTTTGATCTGACCAATAATGCATATTATGCCGATTAACTTCTCCATTATTGGTAAAAGTAGATTCATCAGAAAATAAGACCAAAAGAAAAAAGTTGCTGTCAATTTTTCATCAAGTTGATGAAGAGCTCATTCACAAAATATCACTCGATTTCGAAATCATCTCCGTGAAGCTCTTGATGTAACGGCATGGGAGGAATTTGCGGCACTTCAAAATTCGGTGTATATTCATTCGAGATATTCCAAAGGCACGAGACATTGATCGAATGCTGACATTCGGATTTTGAACAACTGCAGCTAATACTGCAGCTTCATTATTTTCATTTCTAGCTGTCTTTCGCCGGTTCCTTTTTTTTTGGTTGAACATTACCATCTTCAGAAAATTGTTATACTACTCGATAAAATGAACAATGCGATGGGCACCTTTCAGGAAACCGCAAAGTATACAAGTTGAACGTGTCATTAATATTTCGTCCTGCTTCACCGTAAATGAAAATCATTTCAACTTTATCTGCAGTGGTAAGGTATTCCATATTTAATTCGAAGTTTACTGCATCACTGTAATCTATCGACTAAATATTCAAGAGAACTGTAGCAACAAATTCGCACTGTTAATATCGCGTGTTCTTCTGTTTACAAAAAAAAGTCAAATCATCTCAGCAGCGCGATCGCGCTTCTTTATGTTTAATATAAACACGAGATACGGAACACTTGTAAACATGAGATTTTCATATGATCGCGATTTTCTGATGAATCTACTTTTACCAATAGTGGAGAAGTTAATCGGCATAATATGCATTCTTAATCAGATCAAAATGTTTGGAAATGGAAAACCGTCATTTTGAGCATTTATTGTGATACGTTTATTTTATTCGTTTCGAATAAAAATCGGAATTACTTCGTACGATGTCTCCGAAAGTAATGATCAAATAAAGAAATTTTTTAGATAAAAGTTAATTGCTTTTTTACGTAGAATATGTTTCCGTCATAAAAAATATAAGTTTTCATTTGATATAACAAAGTTGATCTTAAAATCACTTTAAGGACGTCCACCAAATGAAAAAGAAATCATGCCATTTTACTCATCTTCGGAATTCGTCTGGCACGTGTTTTAGCGATTTTTGTTTTTGAGTTATTTTGATATCGAGTTATTTCTCAAGTTAAATGGAACACCCTGTATATACATATACAGGGTGTCCTATTTTAAAAAAACGCATGTCGATAATTCTTCAACGAAACGATTTTCAGTAAAAATGTTTCGGACAAGTTGTATGATTTCAAGGAGGACATAAAACAACTATACTATTTTGTTTACAAATGGCACCACTTTCGAGATATTCACTGATCATTACTTTTCTTAAATAAGAACCCCAATTTTTTTTTACACTGTCTTTCTTTACCAATTTAAACAACTTTTGTCTGAAACATTTTTTTCTTTGCTTAATATTTTTTTAGATATTTAAGGAAAACTTGATAACTTGTTCAATATTTAACTTACGATATCTCGCTATTTGTCGGAAGAAAAAATGGTACTACACTTTTTTGCTTTATTTTGTCTCAAGAATATATTGTTACAATAGCGCCCTGACTTTTATTACTGACTTTTGGAAATTTCAAAATCATCAAATTAACAAAAATTAGAGTGGAAAAAAACGATGTAATAAAAAATTGGGGTTTCCATTTAAGATTTTTATGTTAATCACACATATATATGTATGTATGTATGTATATATATGTCGTCGATTTATAGAAAAAAATATACGGATATATTATATTTCATTTATTTTTGTCATTAGATGAAAATTTTTTAATATTGGGGGAAACTTCAATTATTGTATAGAATTTAGGAAACGCTTTACATGGAATATTAGAAATTTTCAGCTAGATACAACCAGACTTATTTACTCATTTTTCCATTTTAGGATATTTCAATTTTTTAAGTCTATGTTATATATATATATATATATATACATATATATTTATATTTATATATATATATTTTTTTTTTCATTTTAGGATATTTCAATTTTTTGAGTCTTTGTTATATATATGTAGGACACACACATATATATATATATATATATATATATATATATATATATGCGTCCTACATATATATAACAAAGACTCAAAAAATTGAAATATCCTAAAATGAAAAAAAAATATATATATATAAATATATATATACATGTAGCCGTACGTGCATAAGCGCATTTGTAGAGTTTTTCATAGAAATTATAGAAACAAAGAGTGAAAGATAGAAAAAGAAAGAAATAGAGACAGAGAAAGAAGAAGGGCGGAAGTTTTTCGATATTTTAATTTATTTTATATGTGTAATACGCCAATTATACTTTTCCTAAATTGAACATATAAATTATTTCCTCCCGTCGTTAGAGAACATTTTTATCACTGCCGGAAATTTTGGCACTATCACACTACCAGGAGTATTTTAAATCTTCAAGTAAAAGAGCATTGTCTCAAATAAAAGACGATTCTATGTAAAAAAATCGATATGAAAATATATCTCAAATAAGAGAGAACTCTGAATTGTTCTTGCGTAGAGTTTGATTAAAATCGGCTCGGCATTATTCTTTCAAGTCTGAATGTTCAAATGAACTTATTTGCATTTTTGCATTTACTTTTCTTACGCAATAGAAACTCTATATTGGACTTCATTGAATTATTCGTAAATAACTCTGTCATCGTGTAAATAAAATCTATTAAATTATTTCACTATAGGTACCCTTAAGTGGTGCATGAAATATACAGTTGTCGATGTCTTTAGCGTCGCATGCTCTCTTGAGCACCGAAAAGAGAGATGTTTCACATGTTTACAGACAGTGGAAGATGATAGTGCTACTTTGGATGCCCTCTAACAGGAGTGAGTCGTTCATCTTTCTACTCATTTTCTCTGTGTCTGCGTCCATGCCTCTGATTCCGCGGGGCTGTGCCATAATAAAATATTCTAAGAGTTACTACTCGGATATAACTCGGCATTAACTCAGATATAAATCACTGTTTATTGCGTTTTTATATGTCCACACAAGTGTTGTACGGCATAGTTATTGTTACTCCATTTATTACTGATACTGCCACTACGACATTAAGTATTAACTGAAGTTACGCTAATACGCTGGGCTGAAGTTCACACTTAGTTGTTTGCTTTGATAAAAACGGAGTTTCACATTACACGATCCTAAGTGATATATCTTACCCGACTAGAAATTTATCGTATATACAATATATATACGCATATAAAGCTTGTTTTTTTTTTTGTTTATATAGATGTAGGATAATGAAGGAAAATATTTCTGTGATAGTTAGAGGAGTTGTAGCGCAAAACTTTCCATATTCCTAATGGAATCTTTTTAATAATATTTGTACTTTAATTCTTAGGATTTATTTGCGCTATATTCATGCGTCATACATGATATATAGTTGCTACATCTTGTTAATCTTGTTTAACTCGTTTGTGCGTGATTTTTCACAGTTGCACAATGAGTAACCTTAAGAATAGGTGATTTGTAA